CTGCGGGAGGGAAGGCTGCCTCCTCCCGGGCCGCTGGGGGGGGAGGGGCTGCAGTGTGGATTGTGACCCCCAAGACGGGGATGTTCGATGTGTTTATTGCAATGAAAAACGAGAATGGGCTTGGAAAGCTCTTTACTGTCATTTATATTCCTCCTCGTGGAATCCTGCAAAGAACTAGACAGAGCATAAGGCAGAAACATGTGGAAGAAAAGGCAGGCGTCACAATCCATGAGCTGTGAACTTGAGTGTCTCCCGGGGACGGAGATGTTCATTTAAAGACATTCCTTCTGTCTGATTTCACCTGAGTCTGGGGCTCTCAGGCCAGACGAACGCTGCGGTCATTCCGGGCTTCTGGCTTCTACAGTGCGGTCTCTCACCCTCCCCTCGGCTCTCCCCACGCACCTGCGAGGGCCCAGGGGCGCAGGGAGCTCCTGCCTGTCGGGAAGCAGGCTTTTTAAAGGCCACGTGAGTTTACACTAGTACCTTCTGCATGAATGAGAAAACAACACTGGGGACCGAATATACTGCAATGTACACATTCATAAGAAACGTTCTAGTAACAGAGCACAAAACTATTGTTATAAACATATTTCCAGAAAGAGAAACTATTGCATTTCAGAAAACGGTGCTTCCTAGACCAGACGTTGGTCTTTCTTCTTTGCAGGTGCTTTGGGGCAGAATTCTTGCACGGAGCTCACTGGTGCGACGTGTTCCGACGGGTAGATCCGGAGCATTCAGAGGTCAGAGTTGGGCAGGTCCTTGGGCCTTGTTTGTCCCCAGACAAGAGTTTTGACTCTGAGCCATCCAAGATGGGACTTGCCGGGTTCACAACGCTCCAGGATCACGACTTCAGAGGCAGGCGTCCCGGAAGGTGCCGTGGAGCGGGACTCGGGCACGGCTGTCAGGGCGCAGACTTGGGACGGCTGCTCTCTGTGGGCGCTGCGGGAACACTGACCTTCCGGCCCCCTTGGAACAGACTCACTTCAGACCTAACGGTTCAGCTTGACGCTGGCTGTGACCTTGCGGAACCCCAATCCCTCCAGCTGCTGCTAATGCTTCTGGGTTTGATTTTTTAAGGACAGCACCACGTCTTGGTACGAGCAGGCCTGTTTCGGTGACTTGTTCTAGGAGCCACAAGGGGCCAAGGGCTGTGTGCCGTCCAGGGATGCGGCGATTGGCTGCTGCCTCTGGGGGCCCGGCCTCTGTGCCTCAGCGACCGGCAGGGCAGAGGCCGCGGTGTGGGCTCTGAGATGGCCCCTCCCCACCACCGGGCACCAGGGGGGCTCCAGGGACGCTGGCCAGCTCGGCCTTGCCCGCCAGCTACAGGGGACATCCCTCCCTTCCCGGGAGCCACGGTGAAAACTGGAATCAGCTGAATGGAGGAGATGCCCAATGTGGTGATACCGACTTAGCCCACAGGGCCCTGCGGGCTCTGGAGGTGGGATGTGTGCAGGGAGGACAAGAACATTTAGAAGAAGGGAAAGACAGTCTGAGTGGCTCAGGTGAGCCGCTCGGGCACCGGGTGCCCGACGTGAGCTTCTGGTCACAACTGGTTTCTTTTGGAGGAGCAGCGTGTTCTGGAAGGGCACCCCGGCCTGGGGCCCCGGGAGTCAGCGTAAAGGTCACTTTGTCTAAGAGGCACTATTGCAATGGAGCTCGGGGAATCGGGCCGGAGCCAGGGAGGCGCCGCCAGGCTAGACGCCCTGCAGGGAGTGGTTGGGGTCACTGCGCTCCCGCTTCACCCGCGGCTCGCCCCGGCCGCGGGCCTCCGAGTGGGCCTCTGCACTGTGGTCCTCACCGATGTCATCTGTGGGGTCAGTGGTGGGGCGGGGGGCACGGGACGGGGAGGAGGGGGAAGCACGTCTTCAGAGGGTACGACCAGGCTGGGTGCAGGGTGCCGCCTTGGCTCGGGGCTGGGTTAGGCCTGTTCGCCTGGGGCCCTCCTCCCTGAGACCACCCGTGGCTGGTACCCATCAGCTTGGGTCAGGTTGCCATTTATGGTGGGTCCCCTCACCGTGCCGGGCAGGGCATGGGTCCCCAGGGGCAGTGCTCACTGGCCCACCTGCCCGCCCTCTCTGGACATGGGTGCAGGAGGCCCGTGGCCGCCCTAGTCCTATCTATGGCCTTGCTCCTCAGGGCTGGTGGGGAGGTCCCAGGATTAGATGTAATCCAGGAGGAGGGGGAAGGGCCTCTGCTCTGAGCCCCCAGCTGGGACGCCTGCTGCTGCCCATGTACCACCCCACCACCCCGGGGTGGTGGATCGGAAAGCCTGGGACACACCCACCTTTGTCGAGCAGTGTCAGCGACAGGGAGGCGAGGTCGTTGAACTGAAAGACAGAAGTCCAGAGTGAGGGGCCCCCGCAGGGTGGGTCCCGGGGAAGTCAGCAATGTCTTCATCCACCGTGAAAACGGGCTGTTGCTATGTAAGCAAGAGGGGATCTGCCACGAGAAGTGGTCCTGATGCTGCTGGGCATCTGGGCATGTCCCCTCTGACCCTCTCTGGGCCGTGCCTGGGAGCTGCCAGAGGGTGGACGGGTGCCCACCGCCCAGGCCAGCAAGGGGCCAGAGGCTGTGGCCTCCGAGCAGTGACAGTGAAGGACCAGCCACTACTCATCATGGGCTCACCGTGTACCAAGAGCTCTAGAGCATCACCTCATCCTCAAAACAGCGCCATCACGACCTGGCAATTCCACTCCCAGGTTTATACCCCAAAGAATGGAAGCAGGTGTTCACACAGAACGTGGACGTGGATGCCCACAGTGGCACCAGTCACACTAGCCGACAGGGGGAAATGACCCCAATACCTATCAACAGAGGATGGCTGAGCAAAAGGCTGCCTATCCATGCAATCAAATGTTACTTTGCTGTCAGGAAGAAATGCTGATAGGTATGGCCACACAGGTGGACTTGAGGACACAGCGCTCAGGGAGAGAAGCAGACACCAAAGGACACATGGCGTGTGACTCCATGTACGTGAAGCGTCCGGAACAGGCCAGTCCACGGAGACAGAAGCTGGGTTCCCAGTTGTCAGGGGCTGGGGGAGGGGCTGGGGTGACTTGAGTGGGGCTGGTTTTATTTCGGGGGTGAGGGAATGTTCTGGAACTAGAGAGGTGGTGGTTTCACACAAACTTGTTTACTTTAAGGGGTTAAAATGGTACATTTTAGGTCATGTGTATTTCACCACAATGAACTCCCGCGTGGGGGTGGATTCAGAGGCGGGACGTCCTGCCCAGGTGACACGAGCAGGTGACAGGGGCTGATGGGTCCGTAGGGCTCCCCCCCCATGCGCACCCCCTGCAAGTGTGTTCTCCCAGCTCCCCCAGCCCGTGCCGGCCCCTCCTCCTGTGCCAGCCCTCACCTCGCCCATGACGGCGATGGGCGTCTCCCCGGTGGCCTCGGCGACACGGTGCTCCACCAGGTAGAACATGTACTCGTCATAGAGCAGGCGGATGAGGTGGAAGGAGCCGAAGCTGGCAGCGCTGCGCAGGGTCAGGTCCCGGATCACCATGGAGCTGGAGCGGCAGACACAGGCTGGCACCTCCACACACCAGGCTCCCCTCCCACCCCGAGCTGGCCTGGGGGCCCCAGACCTGCGAGGGGCCTGCCCGGCATCCTGGCGTGACGTGCACCTGATGGCCTGGGACCCAGGCCTCCTCAGAGCCAGGACCAAGTCCCCTCCAGCCGTAGCCCTACCCCGCCCCCCTGCCTCTCCTGGGTCAGCGGTTTCAGGCACCTGAAAACAAGACTCAAGCTCAGGGTGCTTTCCCTCCTTCACACAAAGCAGGGGCTGGCAAGCCTCGGCCCCGCCCAGACCAGGTCCAGCCTTAGCCCGTGAGCCAAGTTCACATTCCAGCATCCATAAATAGACTTCGACACCATGCCCGTCATACATGTGTCGTGTGTCGTGTGCCCATAAAACCTCATGACTCGAAAATACCTACTATCCAATTCTTAACAGAAAAAACGACCCCTGACCTAAAGGGGTTATTTACATGGTACCCGACCCAAAGCTCTGGCCTACAGACACCTCTGTCACACAGTGCCAGACAGCGGACGCCCGTCTCAGAACTCACTCTCTGTGACGTCTGATCACTGTGGCAGCAGTAAAAGAAACAGGAAGGGACAAGACAGGAGTGGAGCCACGATGTAACGAAACAAGGGGGCATCGCTCCGGGGTGGCCCTGCTGCCCTGGAGTCCACGCGTTCTAAACCCAGCCGGAGTCAGTGCGCTCTGGCCCCAGGGGAAGACTTGCGCACAAGGGACACAGACGGGCCAGGCCAGGCTTCCCCAGAGAAGGCGGCCACTGAGCTGCAGCTGTCAAATCATTTCCTTCTCTGTAAACCCTCTCTCTCTCTCCCCCCGGGGGAGGTTCCTAACCACTATGGCTTTGGCACTGCCCGATTCAAATCGATGTTTGCTCAAAGAATCTTCTGGAAATGTAATGTGCCTTGGTTTCTCTTTTAACAGGTTAAACCTGTTGATGCTTGTGTATTAACCATGGGGCGTAGGCGCAGGTCGGTAAAGACAGCTGACAGCAGATGGGTGTAACTTTCTTTTCGCATCTTCCTGGGGCCCGTGTGTAGACACACTCCGTGGTAGTTTTCTTCGGCACTGGAGAGAGCTGGCTCCAGGCGGCTGGGCTTCGAGATGCCCTGGAAGGGCAACCAAGGAGGGGACCCGGGTGGTGTCTGCCTGCTTCCAAATTAGTGCCTTCGAAAGTGAAGGTCACTTGAAGCACGTTCATGAACGTGAAGACGGCGTCAGGGGGCAGAGTGAGCAGGCTCGGAGTTCGGGATATTCTGCTCAGAAGCTTCTTTGGCTCTGAAAGGCCGACCCCTCAACGAGTGAGCGAACACGGACCATGGGTCCCTGGGAAGGGCCCGTCACCCCTCCCTCCCGTCTCTCCGCCCTGCCTTCCCCGTCCGTCCGGTGGGTGGTGCTTGGTTCTTATGTTGCTGCGGTATCACAGGCCAGGGAAGGAGCCATGGGCCAGAAGCCATGCTCTGAAGGAGACCCCAGGCCTGAATGCTTCAGCTCTCACTCTCCCTTTGTGCCCACCCGGTGGGCTTCCCAGCCCCCCTTTCTCTGAGGCCCCTCTGGATCGGGCACTGGTACCCAGCGCCCCTACCCTACAGCCTCGGTGTCTGGGGCGAAGCTCTGGCTCCAGGTTTTAGCTTTTCTGAACCATCCTGGTGGTCACCTCTGCGTGTTCTGGGTTCTCCAAATGGACCCACAGCTTCCTGTGGGGGAACATCAGCGGACTCCAGCTGGAGAGGCTGGCCGTGAGCCTGGCCGTCACCCACCAAGCCCCTGCCCACTACTCTCCATTTGCTGGTGGACGCTACAGAAACCAGTCCCTTAAACCTAACAAGATGGAGTGAGGGAGAGTCTGGTCTGGACAGAGAAAAGCACCCCCTCTACCGCAGGAAGTACCTCCTCTCCGCAAGCCCGGCCCACATTTTCTGGGCCAGGCCCCTCCCGCTCCCGCCCCGTCCGCACGGGGGAGCACAGCAGCGTGGAACTGGTTTCCCCTCGGGATTCTGACCACCCTGCCCTCCTGCCTCCCAGCCTCCGAGATGCTGCGTGGACGTCTGGCGCTGCCCTGGTTCCTGGCCCCGTGGTGTGACCTGCTGTTCCCTCCCCGGAAGCCTTTCCGATCGCCTGTCTCTTCTCCTTGGTGTCCGAACTGCACAGTGAGGCTGGGAACCTCGTTCACTGGGCGGGGAACCCTGCAGCTCTCGGCAACTCCAGCCTCAGTTCTGGGAGACCTTCTTGATGATGTTTCTTTTTAGTTTCTTTCCCTCCATTTTCTGTCTCTCAAAAAAAAACTCTGCCAGCTGGATAGTAAACCTCCTGGGTTGATCCTTTCATGTCTTTTTCTTCATGCTTTTCTTTTATGAGTTCTGTCTCCCAATTTTCTTTCTTTCTCAGTATTTTTTTCTCTCTCACCTTTACTTCCTGTGATGGTTAGTCTTCCGCGTCAGTGACTGGCGGCGATGCCACCAAACGTTAGTCTGGGTGTCGACGTGGTTCCCATCTCCCCTTCATCCACTCGCCCTCCCACCAGGGCTGGGCCTCGGCTACTTAGATCAAGGGCCTTCAGAGCGAAACCGAGGTTTCCCTGAGGAAGAGGGAGCCCCGCCCGAGGACAGCAGCATCCGCTCCCACCAGAGTGCCCTGCCCGCCAGCCCGCCCTGCGGACCTCAGACGTGCCGGCTCCCCGATCACGCCAGACAGCTCCCCGAACCAATCCCCTTACATTCATTCACACCCACACACAAAAGTCATGTACTACAGTGACACCTATCATTTAAAAATCCATCCACCTGACCCTCACCCAGGACCACCCCGTGGGGACAATGAGATGCTGGGAGCAGATACCCGTCCCTCCCTCCTGCTCGCACCTGGCAGCGAGGGGACAAAGGCTCGGTGATGCTTCCCGCTTTGCTGGGCTGGCTGTTCCCCACCCTGGTTCCCACCCGCGCTCCTCTTCTCCCTAAACCCGTCCTGGACGCACCGTGGGCTTCGCCCCGCGAGTCACACCAGGGAGCGGAAATCAACACCCGTGCTCCTCAGCAGGCAGGCCCGAGACAAGAGTTCCTGCCTGCGGAGGCCTCTGCGACCCAGTTTGAGACCCCAGGGGGCTCTGGGGCTGCCTCTGGGAGCCCCGGGAGGGAGGCCCACTGGAGGGGTCTGTGGGTTCCTGCCTCCCCTGCCCACACAGCCCTCTGGGAGGTGAAGTGGGCATGTACCTGTAAAAGGACCATTTCAGCAGGAACTGCCGGGCAGCCTTGGGGAAGCTGGGGCTGCCTGCGTGCTGCTTCAGCACCTGGGTGACCACGTTGTCCAGCCAGCTGGCCCACTGGTCCAGGGAGCTCTGCTGCTGCAGCGTCAGCTTAAAGTCCTGCTCCAGCCGCTGTACCACGCTCTCCTCGCACTGGCACACCCACGAGGCCTGCTCCTAGGGGGCGCGGGTGGCCGGCAGGTCAGGGCGGCGGCACCGTAATGGCTCCCGAGGGCGGCCCTGAGCCGGATGCACTGAGCAAGAGTGCCTGCCTGCCCTCGGCCTCTTGTAGGGCAAGGTCAGCCCCGCTCCACGGGCAGAGACGGATGGACACCCAGAGGGAACCTGCCTGCTCCCAAGGGCCCAGATCCCGGCTGCCTGCCTACAAAGCCCTGACCGTACTGTGCCTTCACACTGTGTTATTTCTAAGTGGTCCTTCCTCTACGTGTGTGTGCATTTACTCAGTGGATGAACCCAGGACCGGGCCTGGATGCAGATCTGGTGGCAGGACCCATCCGATGGCGGCCTGCACTTTCCTAAGCCCTGAGGAGAGAGCCGTGAAAGTGGCAATGGGAAGGCAAGTTTTTTAAGAAAATGGACCAAGGTGTCGGTCTCGGTGCCCAGACGCCAGGGGGACATGAGTGATCTCCTAGTGGAGCCCGGGGTCCCTAGGTGCACTGCAAGGTTGGGGAGCTTCAGTCCAGACTCCTTTCAAGCAACAGAAACGTGGGCCAGGCGTCGGCTTGGCTGCGGGCAGTTCTGTGGGTCTTTGTGCATGTTTCTAGAGGGTTGAAGCCTAGGCCAGCGGAGTGGGTCCCGTGCCCGTCCGGGCCATGGGGAGCCGTGTGGGAGAAGGTCACCTGCACGTTGGCGAAGTCCACGCGGTTGAGGTCGCTGAGCATCTGGTTGATCTGGGAGGTGTTCTGCAGCACGGCCCGGGCCGCCTGCGCCAGGTGGTTGAGCGACGTGTACCTCCGCAGAGTCTGGGCGAAGGCGCTGACCACGCCCACCTGTGGCCGAGGGGGGTGCAATTACTGGGCAAAGAGGGGCCCACCCTTCTGACAGTCTCAAAGCCCCCGAAACTGAGAATCAGTGAGGGACACAGGTGCCACCAACATGTGGAGCGGCGCCACAGTGGACGCCGCGGCACAGGTGAGCGAGGATTCAGGACGGCGTGGCTGTGCCCCTGCTTCTGGTATCCCTTGGGCTCTCTGGTGTGGGTGGTAAAAATACAGATTCCCAGGTGCCTCTGGAGCAGACTTTGCAGGGGTGTGGCCCCGGAATCTGCGATTTCGAACAGCTACCTAAGCAATTCCTATGCGTCCCGAAGGTCAACCCCAGGTTGAGGCAGGCAGACCTGCTGCCCAGATCCGGCCCCACCTGTGTGAGCCGGCTCTGCAAGGATGCTCGAGAGAATGGAAGACAGTCATCTCTTTTTCACAAGGAGGCCAGATCTCCACATCTGACATTCTGATCAGTGGCCAAGACTATAGCGTTAAGGGCGACTATAAGGAGATTAAATCCCCCTCTGAAGATAAACAGAGAAACATTCAATCTGTTCTGAGTCCATCCAAAAGCTTCACAGCAATGAGATCTTCTGTCGCGCCCTCCGGCCAGTGCCTGTCCTCCATCCGCGGCATCCTCGGCCTTCCTGGCAGGACCACTTATGCTCGGGACACAAGGAGCAGTCTACTTTCTCTGGGGCCCAGCGGTCCTCAAGTTCCCCCAGGGCGGAGGTGGGGGAACCCCTCCTCGGACCCACTTCCGGCTCCCTCGTTTCACCATACAGCAGGGCCCCAGGGGGCCCCAGGCCAAGGCCTCTGCCCCCGGGGACCAGCGTGGTCTGGAGGCCCAGGCTCTGCTCGCACAGTTACCTTGGTCTGGATGACCTGCTGTGGGAAGTCGCTCATGGCGTTCGTCAACCAGCCTTCCAAGCTCTTGGCGAAATTACGGATGGCCTGCGTCAGGGTACCTGGGAGACACGAGCCACGTGCTACAGTGAGAAAGGCAGTCTCACCGTGAGAATCAGCCTGTGTAAGAGCTGCACGTGCCGTGGGAATGACCACCCTCGAAGTCCGAGCAACACAGAGGAGAAGAGACAGTGAGCTGGTGGTTGTCACCCGGAGCAAAGGGAGCCTGCTCAGTGCCCCACATCCTCGCATCCTCACCCTCAGGGGCCTGGGAGCCCCAGGGAGAGCCCACATGTAGGCCACGCAGGTGGGTGGGGGCAGAGGCCCTGGGACAGTCCCCCAGCATGTGTCTGCCCCAGGCCGGGTGTAGCCATCAAGGCCCCCCATTTCCTTTGTCCTCTGCCGGAATAAATAGGACCTGCTCTTTCATGCTGAAGAGTCGTAGTGCTGGGAGGAAGCTGAGCTCGGCGTCAGGTCAACCTGATGTTGCTGGCGGGGGAGGGCTGTCCCGAGACCTTGGCCCCTCTGGGAGTCTCCTCTGGGGAGGTCCTGGGAACCCCACAGTGCCAGCACCCCCTACCCCCACCCCAGCTGTGCTGGCGCAGGCTGCTTACTGGGCACCGGCCGCAGCACGTCGGGGATGAGGATCTCCACCAGCGCCTGGTACAGGATGTGGTCACAGGTCCTCATCCACCTGAGGACGGGGTCGCATTTGCACAGAGACACCAGCTTGTCCTTCGGGAGGACGGCACCTTCTGGCTCCTCGTCACTGCGGGGGAACGAGTGGCACTGAGGGACACAGATGAGCCTCGGCCTGGCAGCTGGCCACCTGTCTGGGACTCACAGAGCTGCAGGAGGCACCAGCTTTCGTGGGACAAGCTGAGTGAGGCTGCAGGACCGCCCATGCAGGGCTGGGGGGACCCTTGTGGCAGGCCAGCCCCCCACCCCACGATCACCCCTAAGTTCCTCGTGCTGGAAAAAGTGGATGGGGGTTGGAGGGTCGAGCTCAGTTGTAGAGCACGCGCTTAGCACACACGAGGTCCTGGGTTCAATCCCCAGTGCCTCCACTCAAAAATAAAAAATAAAAAGCACCCAAAAACAAAAAACAGGGGACATGCCATACGAGTCACAAATCAACTTGGTGTGAAGACCACACGGGCCTGAGGGGGTCTGAGTGCCAGTTCCTGGGAAGCGGGAGCACTTGTCTGTGGGCCACAGTGTGGGTGTCAGCAGGCGACGGCCTGCAGGGTAAGCCCGGCCCGGGAACAAGGCCTGGCTGCGGGACAACGGGCGCTACCTGGCGGGGAGGGAGGCAGGGCCGTCACCGGAGGGGGCTTTAGAATTCCAGAAGGAAAGCCACAGCTTCTCGATGTAGTGAAACTGGAGGTTCATCACGACATCTAAAGTTGCCTGGGAATCAAAGCAGCTGGTTAACACGAGTGTGCACACACCACGCGTCAGAACACGCCGGGTGAGCGGCCGGGATCCAGACTGCGGGGGCCTTTCCAAATCCAGAGAGACCCTGGGAGGGGATGGGGGTGAACGAAGGGGCCCTGGTTCAGAGCAGAGTTCCCATCTGCTCCTTGCAGAGGGAGGAGGCGCCAGTCCTGTCTCCCCTGTCACGGCCTGAGGGACACAGGTGATGTTCTGGCTCTGACTGCACGCAGCTGACCACCAAGGCCTGGGGGAGGCGCACCGAGGTGCCCCCGGAGCCCCACGCCCAGGCTGGGGGTTGGGAGAGGCGCTGGGGGCGGTCACCTCGCAGTGCCGCCGGTAGGCCAGCTGCAGGGCTTTGACGTCGTGCAGTGTGATGCTCTCCTGCAGCAGGACGCTGCCCAGGTCGGGCGCCGGGAACTCCGGGAAGACATGGGACACATCTGGGGGAGAAAAGTGGGCTGATCAGCAGAGCCGCAGAGGGCGCACAGGCAGAAGCCGGCCAGCAGGAGGGTGGGCTGGGGGACCTCGTGACAGTGGAGGCAGAGTCTCGGCTCCCACTCGGGGCCACACAACTTTCAAGCAAACTTGGTTTTCTCAGGTACAGGGCCAGGACACCACCGTCAACTCCCGGTAACGTTAAATACGCCCCCACACAGAGCACGGGGCCTGGCACCCAGCGTGCGCCCCATCCCCCAACATGGGGGGGGTCTGGGGCGGTGACACCCTCTCCAGAACACCTAACACAGAGGGTTCTGTCAGGGCTCAGAAGACAGACTCTAAGACACACAGGCCGCGGGTGTCAGCGTGTGTGAGCTTCCCTGGACATCTGGGCGGCAGGCTCTGGGTCAAGGCGGTGCCGGCCGGGCAGGGGCTCCCCCAGGAAGGAGGGCCAGGCCGCCCTGCATCGGGGCACCGGGAGGGGACGGGCTGGGCTGAAAGTGCCCGTCGTCTTCTTTTTGATGGGCATTTCATTTTATGTACTAACTGTTCTCATGGTCGCCTCATACATTAATTTTGGGGGCATATGCTGATTATTCTTAAATCTCAGGGAGTCCACAAAGAAGGTTTATCTAGAATTTTCTCTGTCATTGAACAGGTGTCATGCAAGTAAACTGTCTACCGCATCCCTTTTGGACGCTGCGGGGGCCGGAACCCACTCCCGGCGGCGCCCGGCGGTGCCCGGCGGCCCTGAGCCTTTGCGGTGGGCTCACCGATGTACTGCTGGTGGTGCTGGCTCTGGGCCGCCATGGCCTGCTCCGGTGTGCTGTGCAGGCTGCCGTGTGAGCTGCTATCCCCGAGGCTGTCCATCTTCTGGGCTGGCCGGTACCTGGTCAGGAACATACGTGTCTCCATGAGCCCCCCGCAGCGCTGCCTGGAAGGAGCCCAGGGAGCAGAGGGCTGAGCAGGACTTGGTTTGAGGGGGGTGTACATGTAATTTTCTAAAACTTGTGGTCAAGCAGAAGACATACAATTTGCCATCTTACCCAGTTTTAAGTGCACAGTTCCCTGGCTTTAAGCACATTCACGTTGCTGGGGAACCACCAGCCAGCTCCAGAACTTCATCTTCCCAAACCGAAACTCTGTCCCTGTTACACGCTGCCCCCACCCCCGCCCCTGACCCCACCATCCACTTTCTGTCTCTGTGAATCTGGCTCCACTAGGGACCTTCCTAGGGGAGGGACAACACTTGTCCTTGTGTGGCTGGCTTCCCTCACTGAGCATCACATCCTCAAAGTTCACGCACGTTGTAGCAAGTGTCAGAATCTCCTTCCTTTTTAAGGCTGAGTGATGTTCCCGTGTGCGCTTGGACTGCGTTTGTTTATCTGTTCATCCGCTGATGGACACTTGGGTTGCTTTTCGATGTATATATTCTAACGCCTCTCTCAGAAAACAAGTGAACTTCTTTACACAGAGTCATGAACATCTTACTATTGTATGACCCCAAAGGAAACTCTGAGACTTTCGTTTTGCCCCGAGCCAGATAGCAGTGGGCCGTCTGTCCAGGCAGCAAACTGACGATGTAACAGGGGAGGGCTTCCCGAGTGACGTGCCGCTCCGAGCACAGAGGGCCGGCCCCGGGGGTGCCCTTCCCTGCGGGCGGTGGGGCCAGGCCCACTGTGGGAGAGGAGGGGTGCTGCCCAGACGCGTGCGGACGGCCTGACAGGGGCAGGGGGGCGGCTCCGAGTGTCCGTGGCACAAGCCTGTCCTTGTGAAACGTGCATCTAAATCTGCTGGGTATGTAGACTCACAGGGGTTTGCCAGGGCCCGAACCCAACAATGAAAGCTGTGGAGTCCTTGTCTGAGGACAAGCAGGTCCAGGATGGACTGCTGATCCCGGAGAACATTCCAGAGATTGTCTCCCATGACTGCCAACTCCCATGGGGTTGGGAGTCACCGGGATATGTTAGAGCAGCTAAAATGAGGTTTTAGCCACACAGCTCGGCCGTGAGGGGGCCACGTGGAGGTGAGGGGTGTGCAGTCCCTGCCCTGGGGCAGAATGGACCCTGGAGAGGGGCCGAGGACAGGGAAGGGCAGGAGAGGTGACAGGAAGGGGCCAGGGAGATGACCTCCAAGTGGGGCCTTGAGCCAGGCGTCTCCCGCTACGGCTGCAGAGGCCCAGCTCTGTCCCTTGTTTTGAAAATAAAATTTTTTTGGTGCATGGCCGCACCCACTGGTGTGCAGATGGTCTGTGAGGGGTCTCCACAAACAGCGTCTGCCTGCAGAGCCAAAGACATGTGCCCTCTGACCCTTTCTAGAAAAAATCTGCTGTTCCCTGCCTTAAAAGCTGAGTAGGTCTGTAATGCATGGAGGAGAGAACGTTCCAGAAAATGACCAGGCCTTTCTAGCCATCAGATCCAAAGGTCAGGAAAAAGCAGCAACTGAAGTACAGCAGCTTCTTTCTCCTGACTTCCAGGGTTATGTTCAGTGTTCCTTCTCTTTCCTCTGTGTGGCTGAAAAAAATTGAAAGATCTGTGATTCTAAAAGATCTGTGATTTGCCTTCTGGAAAAGGAAAAACTATGGAGATAGAAAAAAAAGATCAGTGGTTGCCAAAGGCTGGCGGGTCCTCACAGAGGATTTCGAGGGCAGTGATCTACTCTGTACGACCCCGTACCAGTGGGTGAGAGTCGTTACACCTCTGTTCAGGCCTGGAGAACGAACAGCACGGGGAGCAAGCCCTAATGTCAGCTACGGACTCGGGGCGACAATGAGGTGTCGATGCAGGTTCATCGACTGTAACAAATGGTGGGGACGGGGGGCTTGTGGGAAAGCGCTGCACTTCCCACCGACTCGTGCTGTGACCCTAAAACTGCTCTTACAAAATGTCTACATATGTCTGGAAAAGAGGCAGATCTGCAAACTCTGTGGCCGGAGGAGGCCACACCCCCAGCCTCTCATGTCCTGCCGGCCTCACTCCACACCAAGTACCCGTGAGCTCTGGGCTCTCCTGGGGCGCTGACCCTGGGGGGAGGGGAGTCTGCCTTCCCCACCGCAGGGTGTGTCTGGTGGCCAAGAGGCGCCCCCTGGCCGCGCACCCACCTCGGCTTCTGGGGCGCGGGCTGCTGCCGCATGGCCATGTACTGCGTGTCCTCCTGCAGCCGGCTCAGGGGCGAGTCTGGCTTCAGACGGATCCCGTAGTAATGGTACTTGGAGTTGCCCCTGGAAACCAAGCACCCAGGGTCAGCTCTCTGCGGACGTCCTGAATGACCAGACAGGTGCTCTGTCCGTGGCCTCCACCCCGGGCTTTCGGGGCCATGTTCCCTGGACCGCGTGGGAAACATTCACGGGCCATCCCCGGGTCAGAGAGCTTCAGGAAATTTGGTAATGACTTCCCCCTCTGGGACATTCCCCTCTCGAATGTCAGTGTGATAAAGGCTCTGAGAAGTCCTGAAAGAACCAGTTCAACTCTGCTTAACCCAGCATGGTCTAATTATTATTATGATCATTATCACCACAGTCTGGGAAACACTACCCTAGTCCATCATAGAAGATGAACAAAGCGCTTTGAACAATTTCAGTAAGAAAACAGGTCAGGGGCTCCACAGGGGAGAAGCCCTGGGTAACAGACGTGCGGCTGTGCAAACACCCCACTTGTGCACCGTTGTTTCTGCCAAGCTGGCAACGGGGACAAGCTGGGGAGCCCGGGTCCTTCCCGGCTGAGGTGTGAGCCGAGCCGGTGCGAGGAGGGGGCAGCCAGGGAGCCGAGCCCCAACCCTGAAGGCAGCATCTGGAACCCTCTGGAGGGGGAGGCCCCCGGGCAGCAGAGGCCGTGTCCCCAGGGACCAGGGGCTCCCCTCCTGCCTCCTCTCCGTGATCTGTCCGACCATGTTCTATAAGGACGTCCTCAGTCAAGGATCCCAAGGTGGCAGAGAACTCTCTGCACCCCATCCTTTAAAACACACAGGATGCCCGCTTCTGAGAGGGCTCAGGAACAGGGGAGGGCTTCCCGAGTGACGTGCCGCTCCGAGCACAGAGGGCCGGCCCCGGGGGTGCCCTTCCCTGCGGGCGGTGGGGCCAGGCCTGCTGTGGGAGAGGAGGGGTGCTGCCCAGACGCGCGCGGGCTGACACCCACAGGGCAAGTTTATGGCCCGTGATGTTTCCTGGTTGTCAGCCAAGGGCAGCTGCTGTTGGACCGGTGTAGGCACAGAAGAAAGCACCAAGAAATAGTAAATCCAACTGTACTAGAACATCCAGGGGTGGCTTTTGAAAACGCCTGTTTACTGTGGACATTTTCAGATGAAGAGAGAGTGGGAAGCCCGTGTTTGTCACCGGGAGAGAAGCCACCGCAGCCCACGTGTGGCTGCCGCCAATTCAGGGCCACTCCGGGTGCACTCGGACGGAGGCAAGGGCACCTGGAGGGGAAAGCTCACGTCTCCCGCAGCTGGATTTCCGTAACAGGGAAGAGAGCGGGCGGGCCTGGGGGGCCGCCGGACCCCCCCCACCTACCCACCTGGTGCCCAGCCGCCGCGTCCTCAGGCCCATAAACACGGAGCGGATCAGCTTCCCGAAGGAGGCGGCGTTCACGGGGTCCAGCTTGTGCTCCTGGCAGTGCCGAAGGTAGTGGTTGTAGAGAGAACTCCTGGGCAGGCTGACCCCTTCCGCGGTTTCATAGTTATCCAAGAGCCACTGGAGCTGGTAAAGAGAAACACCAGACGCTCACGCGGCCGCACGGAGACAGTCACGCGCTTTCCACTAACGCCGTGAGGGAACTCACCTCCACTGCCCTGATCGGGTTCAAGAGATTTGGGGCTCCTTAATGAACAGATAGCTTCTTGTCCCTCGCTTATTGATTCCTTCCATTTTCAGCCAGATTTTCAGTTTCCTGGACTTAACTTATAAAAGCCTGCCTGTGATGGAGAACTTGGGTCCTGCCTTCCTAGTCGTCAGAGCGCGCACATGTCCTGCCCCGCACGCCGCTGAAACACCAAATGTTTCCTAAACCTGTGGGAATGGAGGTAATCTGAACCCCGGAGAGAGAGGAAGATTAAAGAAAACTCGGTGGCCCACCAGGACCGCGCCTGCGTTAAGCTAACATCGCCGCAGTCCCCGTGCTCCTGGCAGAGGAAAACAGACGGAAACGGAACAAGACCGAAAGGCCAGGCTTTGTGCTCAGGCCTCCCGCTGAGGGGACCAGCCCTGCTCCTGCTTATCCGAGTAGTGGGTCTGAACCAGGGGCCATCGGGCCTCCTGTCACCACGCCGCCTGCCGCCTGCAGCCCTGGCGTCCATGCTGTTCCCGAGGACTGTGAGTCCATGGCACAGCTGTCTATTTGTCTATTCCTGTGACCTGAGGGTGAAGGAGGGACAACTACAACGGGGGCATGGGGAAGAGGGGGCAGCAGCCAGAGCCCAGGGGAAACAGGAAAGAGCCCTTCAGCTGCCCCTTTGGGAAAGAACATCGCGGTTTTTTACTTTCCATCAAATCACCCAGATATTTAATTTTCAAGCTTTCCTTAAATGCTTATTTTTTGCACGAAGGTGGCAGAGCACCACCTTCTCTCTCCAAGGCTTTGCTCCCGCCCAGCGGTCCCACCTTTAGGCGCCGTCTCCTTGGCCCCACTTGTCCTGACCCCTCGCTCTCTCTTGATGCTGTAAACGGAATCTTAACTGTGAAGTTAGTGACGGCTTAATCCTAGCACACGGCACAGCCCCTCCCCTCTGCACCCCTCTCCTGGAAGCACCCTTCCCCCACCCCAGGCCGCCCTGACCACCCCTCCCTGCTTTGACTCTGGGGCTGAGGGGCTCACGGGGCTGGGAATTCAGGAAGGAGGGCGCGGGTGGCACAGAGGCACTGGCCGTCTTCAGTGGATGCTTGTTCGGCCTGCTTCACACTGGCGCTGGGGTCCCTGCTCCACCAGCCACACATATGAGCTTCACCAGCCACTTGGGATAATTGCCGCCCTTCCATTTACCTTCAACGGTTTGGAAGCCAGGTTGGGGAGGGCTGGTATCTGCTGGCCCCTGAGCTCCCAGGTTTTCCAGAGCACTCCCTGTCTGGAGCTGACCCATCTCCCTGTTGGAATGGGGGCTCCAGGGAGCAGAGACAGAGTGGGGCTACCCATGTTTGCGCCCTATAAGGATGCTTCGAGAAATGCTGACCAAGAGGAGGAGGGGCCTGGAGAGAGGCAGGGACCCCACCACGAGCGGAGCCTCCAGGTTCAGAAGCTAGAGGTGCTTCCTCTCTTGGCCGCCCCAGCTGGAGAGCACAGGCTGTTTCTCTGGGAGCCCTCCGTGGGCGGGAGAACCTGGGACCAGGGCTCAAACAACTCAGGGGCTGAGCTGGCCGGCGAGTCAGGCAGGCGGGTCCTCAGGCCACAGGGCTGAGGCCAGGTCCCACGGGCGGTGGCCTGGAAGGGCCATGGACCAGGCCCCAAGCGGTGGAGGCTAAGACCCCACCCAGCGCGCCCCACGACTGGCTGGACGTGAACAGGAAGGTCTGGGAAGCACGACCGCTTCTGCTCCTCAACACCTCCGCCAAACCCCGAGACTGAAATGAAAAGCAGGCCTGGCGGGTGACTGCGCGGACGCTGACACAGGATGGGTGGCTAGCTTCCTCCTAAGTGAGAGCTGACGCCGCCAGCAGCCTCCAGAGGAATAACTGGTTCACTTCCTCCCTCTCTGGCATCGAGAGGTTACCCAGAAGGGAGACAGACTGGAGCTGGACGAAGGTTTAAGCTCCAGGAAGGTTGGGGCCTTGCCAGCAGGCCGAGCAAGCCACAGCGGGGTCTGCGCCGCGCAGCGCGCGCTTCCGGGGGCCAGTGCCTAGCCGCGCGTCCGCGTCGGGGGTGTCGGACTCCGGAGGCCCCGTCCCCCCACCGCACAGCGCCCGCCTCGCCCGCGGCGCCCCGACCGCGGGCCCCGGGCCCTCCACGCAGCACAGGGGAGGGCGGGTTCTGAGCGACTCTGCAGCAACTTCTGTCTGCCGATATTTGCACCAATTCTATGTCCACACAAACACGAATAAACAGAACTTTTTCCAGTAAAAAGCGCGTATTTATCCACATCGGTGATCTGTCAGGACTGCATTCTTCTCAACGAAAACGATCAAATCCCTCCTTTTCAGGAAAAAAGCAAAGCCCAACACCCCTGGCTGCCCAGGGCCGGCGGGCACCTGCCCCTCTGGCCTGCAAACGGGAGGCCGGGCCTGGAGGGCCAGACTCGCCTACCTGCCCAGCCCCTTCATCTCTCAGGATATTTGCTTCCACTGTTTGGGGCAAACGCGCCTGACCCCGGCCCCCGATTGGCTGGCGCAGTGTCATCTGAGCAGCGCCAGCCCCTCTGCGCTTCTGCGTTACTCTGGCCCCATAATCCAGCTTTGAACCTGCCGCTTCCATCTACCCACCGCCTGCTCTGGGCGCTGGGGAGACAACTGTGAACGAAAGACAGAAGCCCCTGCCACACAGAAATGTCCATTCTCGTGGTGGCGGGACACCCACGGTAAATAAGTGAAGTGCACGGAATGAGAGCTGGTGCTGAGTGTTAGAGGAAAACCCAGGAGAGGGGGCTGGGAGCTGCAGCGAGGGTGGGAGGGGGCTGGGGGGAATGCAGTGTCCTGGGGGGGCGGGGGCGGGGCCCACGGAGAAAGCGACAGGCTGAGCAAAGATGGGAAGGAGCTGAGGGAGGGAGCTGTAGGGAGGTGTTTCAGGCACCTGCAAAGGCCCTGGGGTAGGACTGGGCCTGGTATGTCCGAGGAACAGTGAGGAGACATGAGGCTGGAGCAGAGTGAGTGAGGGGGAGAGAGGGAGGAGGGGAGGGCAGGGAGGGGACGGGGGCAGGTCATGCAGGGCTTTGTGGGCAGTGGGGAGGATGTGGGCTTTTACCCCCAGGGAGGTGGGAGCCCTGGAGGGCTGTGGGCAGGGGAGGCGCGGGGCCTGACTCAGGTCTTAGTAGGACCGCTCTGCTGGACAAGGGCTGGCTAGGAGGTGGCCACAAGGACGCACAGGGAGGGGCCGTGGTGGGGAGACTGTGGCTGTGCTGAGGTGAGAGAAGTGGTCTGACTCTGGATGGTTCTGAAAGTGAGGTCAAGGAGCACTTGGCGGGGGGCTGTGGGAGGAGGAGGGGAGGCAAGGGTGAGCTCCCAGAAGGACGGCGCTGCCCTGGCTGAGCTGGGAAGACGGTGGGAGGCCCAGGGGTCCTTGGCAGGGGGGTGTCGGGGCTCCGCCCTGGACACGCGTGTTCAGCAGCCCCTTCAGGCTGGCTGGTGGACACCCAGGAGGGATTTGAGGGGAGAGGCCCACAAGGTTCAGGAGCCCAGGCGGGGTTAGCAAGGTGGTAAGGGGTCGGGGAGACTCCAAGAAACAGCACACTGCCACAAGAATTTGGAGCTGCCAGTTCTGGCCACGCCCCACCCGTCTGTGGGGCATGGCTTTGTCCTCACACCGCTACCTGAAGGCTAAGTGATCTTCGACTGCTGGTATTTCTTGATTTAAAAAAGAGTCGTATAACCTGAATACAATTCACCTAAAGCAGGCCCTTCTCCCACGGGTTGGAAATGATAGTTTATTCAGGAGGCAGAGGCCACCTCCCACAAACCATGATGGGGCCTCTCCAGGTGGGATCTGGGGGACAGCAGAGGGGCAGCCCTGGCGGGGGGCCTGGCCCGTGAGCAGGGATGCAGGTGGGCGACAGTGTCTCCATCCCCAGCGCAAGCTCCTTTGCCTCCAAAATAGTTATTTCTGCCACCCAGTTGCACTCTTCCCTGTTTTAGAGACGGCTTGAGGACCACCTCCTCCAAGGGGGGCAGGCTTCCACAATAGGCTGGAAGGTCCTTTCAACACACAGACCCCCAGGTCCGAGCCCCGAGGGCAGCTTGGGGAGCTCGGGGTGACCAGGACGTCAGCTGGGTCTGGAAGGCACTGGCCAACCTCCTGGGCTGCGGGCATTTTGTCTGCCCGGGCTGGGCTGGCAGAGGAACCGGGGCCACGGCCGGTGACGCCGGTCCTAGAGATCTCAGCCGGCCAGGACCATGAAGGGGCCTGCAGGACACACCATCTCCTGTAGCCGGGCCACCCCTCCGTCCTCCCCACTCTCACACGTGCCAAGACAGACTCCAGGCAGGTTTTGTGCTGTGAGTGGGGTCGCGTCCTCACACAGATCTTACTTCTGTCCTCTCTGACTCCAAGTCCCCAGCCTCAGATCCCACTTCTCCCAGGTCCCAGTGGAAGAAAAACAACTCAACGCCACCCTGCCAGGGAGAGAACGGACACGGGGTTCTTCCTGCTCAGAAACGCCAGCCATTGTTGGGAAGCAGCCAAGGCAAGTCCGCCGTCCAGAGAAGTGTTAGAAAGCCAGCGGCACCCCTGCAGCGGAGGCAGCAGCCCAAGCGTTTCCCACAGACATTTTAAACTGCCCTAGGCCGGCTGCCTGCCTGGGGCCGGCGCCCCACCCTGCCTTCCTCCACCCGCTTTCCCCTCCCCCGGAGCTGCCCCAGCGCCTGGCCCCACGGGCTGCCGCTCAGAGCTGAACCCTGGTCCCCAGAGCAGGGACTGCCGTCCTGCAGGCTTTCTACACCCTGGGCTCTGAGTCTAAGTCTACAGTTTCCCCTCCCTAGCCCTGCCCATGGGGTGACATGGCCTGGCCAGGATGGACCAGAGGGGACACGACCCGCCCCGCCTGCTCTCCCCCAGGGGACCAGCCCTTGGAGGCTCAGCCGTGGTCTGGAGCTGCCGGCCACGCCTGTGCCAACCCCACAGCCCAGAATTCGCTGGCAGGGCTTCTGTCTCCTCAAATCACTGCCTTTCGGCCAGAACCTCATTTTGAACGTCCGCCTGAATGAAAGTCTTGATGGGGTCGCAGCTGGGGTCGTGTTCGGCTAAAGGGGGCTTCTTCTTAATGTTTCAGCTCTCAAGAGAGTGTCCGGTCCCCGCCTCAGTGCTGTCAGAAGCACTTCCTGATTTCAAGATGCCGAACCAATTTCAGTTACGTGGAAAGCCGGCCTGAGAGCATATGGAGGCGTGAAGGGCAGAGGGCGGGCAGTGCGGAGACCCCGGCTCTCCCTTCCCGTCTGCCCCGGAGGCGGAGCTTCTGAGCCTCACCTCCTCCAGGCCCCTCCTGCCCCACAAGGCGGCCCACCTGGAGGCAGGGTCCCCGCTCGGCCTGGGGCCTCCGATTGATCACGGCTTCCCCATCGGAGAGACATTTTACGCAGCTAAATTCAGAGGGATTAGTTGATTTGCACTTTTCTCAAATTACCATCTTTTTTCGCCCAAAGAGCTGACAGCAGGAAATTAACTAAGAATCTTTGTGGCCTCCCCGACCCTGTGTCAGTGTTTGGTTGCTGCTTGTTTGAGCACAAATCTTTTCACCTGTGGGCAGGAGGTTCTGGACACCAAGCACTGCAGTCCCCTAGCCGTTTCCCTTCACTGTGGAAGGATGTTTTTGCTAGAATTCTAGGTTGATCTCCCCCCTCCCCTTGTGGGCACTTTAAAGGTGTTGTCTCTTGCTTTCTGTTTGTTTTTAAAATGCCTTTGAAGGTGCAAGCAGGGTAGGGCAGACCAGCAGGTCGACACACACTTACATGGCTGTTGAGTAAACCGCTTTTGTGTGATGTGACCCCTTCACTTTTTTGGAGGTTTTCAATCGCCATTTCAAGCTAAAGAAAATGTGCGCAGAAACAAAACAAAACGGAAAGAAAAAAAAAAGGGAAATCAGATGGTTAGCATCAGCCAAGTTTTTTTTTTATTAATATCCAAATAAAGAATCGCAGGCCTACAGGGTGGAAACCAGGCCGCACGCAGGCAGGGTGGCGGGTGGGGGCGGTTAGAGCCTCGGCAGGAGCGTTACTTCGCCGCGCATGCGGAGGAGCCAGGAGCCGGTCAGGCACCAGCAGCGGGTGGAGCCACACCGTCACCCCTGGCAGCTGAGCTTTAACGCGAATACTCAGCCTTGCTTAAGTTCAGGTGTGAGCAAAGCCAGCGTAATGACCGCTCGCTGTGCCTGCCTTGATCTGTGCTGGGAAGATCGGTGATCACAAGCCCCGAGGACAGTTGGTGGCACTGACCTCCCTGCCAGCCCGACCTGTCGCAAAGCCCAGGGTCTCCCAGCTGGAGGCTTTGGGGATTACCCATGGGCCAGGACCCCAGCCCTGCCATCAGGAGGCGCAGCCCCGGGGAACACTGGACGATCACAGACATAAACTCCCGAATGTTTATGAAGCTGCGAAGGCTTCTGACACGAGTCCCGGACCTCACGGAGGCCAGGAGGTGAGCTGCTGTGGCAGGCCTATACAAAGGAAGAGACATCAGCCAGGCACGGCTCCCACCACATCCGGCCCTGACTTGCCATGAAAATGCCTCCTTCTGCTGGGGGAATCACCTCAACAGCCAGGGGACGTGAAGACCTCAGAGACACGTGCGCAGAAGCAGGCTGGACGCGTTCAGAAAGCGCGGCTGGACCGCTTCCCCAGAGCCAAGCTCAGGAGCAAGGGGGACCCTGCTTCGCCCATCACCTCCCCTGACCACTGCTGCGAACGTCCACTCTCCCCACTGCTATCCAGCATTGTACTGGAAGTTCCAGCCGGGGCGCCGGGCCGCAGCAAGACATAAAAGGGATCCAAATGGAAAGGAAGAAGTAAAACCACCTCTATTTTCGGATAACGTGACCTTTTATTTTTTCAAACGGAGGCACTGGGGATTGAACCCAGGACCTTGTGCATGCTGAGCACCTGCTCTACCACTGAGCTGTACCCTCCCCAACATGATTTTAAATATAGGAAATCCTGTAGAATCCACTAATAAACTGTCAGCTCCAGAGTGGCAGGAGACAAGATCCATAGACAGAAATCAATTTTATTTCTAAGTGAGGAACAATATGAAAATGCAAGTATGAAAACAACCCTGTTCACAACAGTATCAAAGAGAATAAAATATCTAGGAATAAAGTTAACCAAGGGGGTGAAATGCTTGTATGCTGAGAAAAATGATAAAGCGTTGTTGAAAGAAATTAAAGGCCTAAACAAACAGAAAGACGCCCTCTGTTCACAGACGGGAGGACATAGTGTTAAGATGGCCACGCTCTCCTAACTGGTCTACAGACTCAACACAACTGCAACTACAATTCTGTCAAGCTTCCAGCTGCCTTTTCAAAATGGGGAAGTCGACCTTAAAATCGATATGGCATTGCAAGGGACCCCAAATAACCCAAACAACCTTGAAAAAGAAGCACAAAGTTGGAAGATTCACAAGTCCCCATTTCAAAACTGATTACAAAGTTACAGTAGCCAAAACAGTGCAGCGTCGGGGTAGGACAGACAGACAGCTCAGGGGGGTAGAACTGAGTCCAGAAATAAACCCATACATCTGGGGTCGATTGATTTCCTTTTTCTTTTTTCTTTTTTTTTCAATTGATTTTCACCAAGGGTGTGAAGACCATTCAACAGAGAAAGAACACTCTTTTCAACAAATGGCGCTGGGAGAAGTGGACAGCCACGTGTGAAAGAATGAAGCTGGATGCTCACCTCACGGCCTTTACAAAAGTCAACTCAAAAGGGATCAAAGGTGGGGGGAGGGTATAGCTCAGTGGTAGAGCACGTGCTTAGCATGCATGAAATCCTAGGTTCAAGCCTCAGTACCTCCATCAAAAAATAAATAAAACCTAATTATCCCCCACCAAAGACAAAACAATCGAAAGGGATCAAAGAACTAAAGGTAAGAACCAAAACTATAAAACCCTTAGAGAAAAACATGAGGTAATCACGTAAAGTAAGATTATCTCCATGACCTTGGATTTAGCAATGGATTCTTAGACGTGACACCAAAAGCACAGAAAACAAAACAAAAGATAAAAACTTTCTAACGAGATAAACTGGACTTCAGCAAAATCAAAAACTTCTGTACATCCAAGGACACTATCAAGAAAGCGAGCAGACAAACCACAGAATGGAAGAACATACTTGCAGACCATACTGCTGAAAAGGGTCTTACACCCGGAAGATTGTAAAGGGCTCTCACAACCCGACCACAAAACGACCCGATTAAAACGTGGGCAAAGGCCTAGAACAGACATGTCTCCAATAAGCACAAAAAAAGATACTTAAAATCATTAGTCATTAGGGAAATATGAACTAAAGCCACAATGAGACGCCACTTCACACCCACTAGCATGGCAATTAAAAGAAAAAAAGAAAAATAAGTGTTGGTGAAGATGTGGAGAAACTGGAACCCTGGTCCATTCCTGGTGGGAATGTGAAATGGTGCAGCCACTGTGGTCAATGGTTTGGCAGCTTCTCAAAAACTTAAACACAAAACTCAGCCAAACCACATGACCCAGCAATTCCACGATACCCAAGATAACTGAAAACAGGTGTTCCAAAAAAAACTTGTTCACAGCAGCATTATTCATAATGGCGAAAAAAACAGAAACACACAAATGTCAATCACAGATGAGTGGATAAACCAGACGTGGTCCATACAAACAATGGAATATTATTCAGCCACAAAAAAGAATGAAGGACTGATACACATTAGAATATGGATGAGCCCTGAAAACACGACACTCAGTGAAAAAAATCAGACACAGAAGGCCACATGCTGTGCGATTCCATTTACATGAAACATCCAGAACAGGTGAATTCATAGATAGTTGCCCGGGTCCAGAAGAGGTGGGGATCTGGGGGTGACTACCAACTGCTAGAGGGCTTCCTTTCAGGGTGATGAGAATGTTCTGGAACTAGATAGACTGATGGTTACACAACATGGTGAATGTACCAAAAGCTATTGATTGTACCCTCTCAAATGATTAAAATGGTGAATTTTATGTTAAGCGAATTTTACCTCAAGAAAAACTATATAACTGGTTTAAAACCCCTTTAGTCTCTCTTGCAATTTGAATGAATCTCTTACCCACATGCATGGTTCTGTAATACCACGCCCTGGTCACTTGGAAACTATTGGTTCAGAGTTTGCAGATCTTGCAAATGCTGACATCTCATCATATGGTATCGAAAAAAATTACATTTGTTAATATCAGTGGCCAATCTCTTCAGAAAGATACCAGCTTTCCAAAATTCTATTTCTTTTTGGGCTTGAGAATGCATTGGCAATAAAACCTGTTTTCCTGGATACGTCAGGCTCACAGACATTCATTTTTGGGAAAATATGTGCCAAATCTCTGAGTCTGAATAGTCATAATTTGTCTATCATCCTTTCAAGGAAAAGCAGCGTTTCATGAAAAAAAAACTGGCTCATTCTGCTCACAACTCACCTGCACTTGGGCTTTTCCTTGCAACAGTCATCACACCTTGGCAGACAGCAGCAGAACCTTCCACCACACAGAATATTAAAAAGCTGTGTTCTCGAGGGTTGAGATTTAAAAAATATTAATCATTTTTACTGCTTCGTCAGGGATATTCTTGAGTGAAACTGATATTTGGCATTTCTCCTTTCTTTTCTTCTCTTTCTCTCTGCTGTGCGTGCATGCCGCCGAGGGTACAGGGGCATCTGGAGACTCGGATGCGTCTGCCTTGGTGTGTGCCCAGCTGTGTCAATTGTGCTGATTTTGCATCATTGGGGCAAACGTCAACACAGGGAAAAGGGTAACTGATGAGTTGGTATTATTATGAAAACAGTTTTGACCTCGTGGAGCTCCTGAGAGGGTCCTGAGGACACCCAGAAGTTTGCCAGACATGTAAGACTGACTGCTAAAAAGCATGGCGTTGTGAGTATGGTGGAAAAGAACAGAAATGAACATCAGCTGTATGGGAGTACCCTCAAAAACCACAGCTGTTAAATAGTGTCTGAATAAGCCTGCTGATACGTTAAATTAACTTAAAGCACAGCAGAACGTCCCAAGGTGTTCACCGTGTTTTAAAATGAAAGCGTCGGGTAAACTTGTGAAGGCGGTGAGGGTCAGGAAAACATCGGAGATTGATGCCCAGGAGCCAGGCCCGAAGGCGCAGCGCATCCAGCAGAGGGCGCTGCGCCGCCGCCTCCCAGCGCCGCGGTCCAGCGTCCTGGGAAAAGGGCTTCTCAGCACTTGAACTTGAAGACCGGCACTTGAGTGGGAGGCTTCCTTACAGACCCCACCAAGCTATTCTTAGTGTGCAAGCACAAAGGCCTTGATCGGTCCTCTCGGTGCCTGGAAAAGTTCGTGTTTAATCTTTAAATATGCTTAAAATGGAAACTAATTTTATACTTGACTGGAGTTTACTTTTTTGTTACTTAAAAATTACTGAAGTGCTACCTGCACAGGCCCACATGTCAAACAGTAAGGACGAGCCAAGGAGACGCAGCAGCGGCCCCTCCCCACTCCAGGGCCAGGCAGCTTTCCCTAAAATCACTTTTGTTTTCTGAACTTCTGGGAGACTCCTTCCATCTTGGTTGCACACCCTTGTGCCTCTATTTCTTGACTTAGCAGGAGCTTAATCTTTATTTCCGACTGGGTGCAGTGCAGCCCACGTTCCTCCCTGTCGGCCGTTTAGTTTCGCTGGTCTCGCCCGCGTGGATGAGTGACAGAACGCCTGGCGGAAGGACACATGGGCTTTAAGGCTCATTCGGCTTAATCAGCACTCGCGACGGAAGGCACAGTGTCTCAGGAACTCACGGTGCCAGCGGGGCGCAGACAAGTTTGAATAGCTCCCAAGTATATTAAATTCAG